TGAGTTAGACCAGTTGGCTTACGATTAGAGCGGGACCGTGGGAGCTCGGGAGGGAAGTCCGTGAGAAGGAAATCCGTGGAGGTAGTGGATGGGCCAGATGATGTACCGGGTGATCCAATTGAGCAGGAGGACAGGCAGGTGGCAGACGCTGAACGCCGGATCGAAACCTAGACACAAGTAGGCAGATTTAACACAGCTCCAACAAGATATGAATGCAATGCTTTCGCAGGAGTCTAGTTATCACAGAGAGGTGATTAACAGACTGGCGTGGAGCATCCGTCAGCGGTGGGTTAAGTAGCTCTTCAGGTAATCACCCCGATGGAGAGCAGGTGTGCCGGTGATGGCCCAGCCTGGGGGTGTGGCTACCCGCGCATCACACATTCCACACACAGGACCACGGACCATGACAGAGTGTGTGCCATGGTTTAAGGCTGCAGTTCAACCAGTGGTGTTGGTAGTCTTGTCAAAATTGATGGAACTATGATCATTAAAAAGCACCATCAGATTTTAATGCTCTTTGATATACCATCTGGAAAGTGTTTGACAACTTCAATGATCCCAAACACACGATCAGTGCAGCAAAAGGATACCTGGATAAAAAAGGACACAATGCAATTCTATCATTCGATCGAGCTTCCCAGAGCCTGAACCGCAACCTTGTTGAAGAAGTGTGTCCTGGAGACGTATTCCTGAAGACTACTTAAAGAAATTCCAAGAAAGCTTGTCTAAAAGAGTTCATGCTATGTTAAAGGTACTCTCACCAACTATTGCCTTTATATATTGTACTTCCATGTGTGTTTGCACATGTTTCAATAGTGCTTCAAAGTGCTGCAGAACTGATGTCTAGATATGTGCACTGAGCAGGAGATGCTCTGTATCTCATTGTACATCTGTATAGTGACAATAAAGGCATTTTATTCTATTCTATTCAGTAAATCCTGGCACCTCGTTCCCATTATCCTACCAAAATCTTAACCAATGAGGGTTTGCTCAGACCGCACAGTTCGGTAGCTTGCTGCAAATATACAACACGCAGAAACGGAAGATCATAGTATCTGTCAGATAATTCCTTTAAAAGTGTTTCAAAAGTCTCCACCAACAGTAACAAATTTGCGACATACAGGTCAGTGACTCTGAAGTTTAGCAGACAGATATCAGGATGCTCAGGATCAGAACTCCATGGTGGAAGTTGGGCATTTTAACACGGAGCCAAGCTCACACACCAACCTGTAAATGCTCTTTTGCACAATATTATTACTAGATATATTATATATTATTATTTTTTTTGCACTAACTTGTCTTGTAGCACCTTGGTTCCTGGAGGAACGTTGTTTCGCCTCACTGTGTATTTTTAAACTGTATATGGTTGAAGTGACAATAAAGTTGAACTTGAACTTGAACTTGAGCTTGAAGTGGACACAGGACAAACTGCAGGCCTCTGTTCAAACGACTGTGCGCACTGCATTACAACTACACGGGAGAGAGGAGGCTCTGCTTGTGATGAGAAGCAGGATGACAGCTTTATATGAATGGGTTCAGAGTAGGTTAAACATTCATTGAGTAGACCTGTGTTATATGTGTGTCTGCAGTCTGACGGCAGGATGTCTACATTTAAATTAGCAACAAACGCTGCATTTTGCTGTTTGTCTTTTCCTCAGTGGAATTATCTCTGCCAGTATTTGAAGTAGCTGCTGGCAGCATGTCGTAAATCTTTTAATCTGCTGAATTTTAAAGGAGTTGGAGGAGGAGAAGCAGGCGGAAGCTACAAACCGCCTTTAAAATTCAAGTGAACTTCAAAAGGTGAAACAGTGGGCTGATTACCCCCCGGGGACAGAGACTATTTTAATCCTTCCCTGGCTTGCTTGTTTATTCTGTTTTCTCTCCCAGTTTCCAGCCCAGCTCTTCTACCATATGTTTGATGACCCCTAGTGTTGTGTGAGATAGTGATGTATAATTCACCGCTGACCTTCATCCAGGTCACCGCCTGGACAGGCTAGCAGGTCAGCTGTGGCATGACTGAAGATGAAGGTGGCTGAAGGTCCATGTGCGTATGTGTGTTTGATATCCCAGGTCAGGGCTCTGAAGTGCTCCACTGCAATGAGATTCATGGGGTTTTAAAGGGGAAGGTCAGGTGTTGCTCAAGATGTCAGAACAGTCTGAAAACAGCAACCGAACTGCTTTAGATTGTGGGATATCGCTCTGTCACAAAGGAAGATTCTTCATATACACTGTGGTCACGATCAAGAGAACTAAAATGTATCTGCAGACACATAGATGACTGTGAGGCTGTTAACATTGTAAAAATCACTATTGAATTATTGCCCATGCAAGTGAGTGAGCAAGTGATGAAACATTCTGGTCGCCTCCAAAGTGTCTGTGGGTGGAAAACTACACCGAATTCTGTTAGTGAGAAGTGAGACGGAGGAGGAACAGCTGATTAGGATCTTGCTCATTACACAATCTCGTTGCTGGGATTGAATTAAGTTTATTTGGTGTATTCTGCCTAATTGATCATTGCGCTTGAGTCGTGATGATGTTGCAAAGCTGAAAATCAGTGTGCGAGTCCGTGGGGGAGCTAGAATAAAATCATTTGTGTGAAAACAAACTAATGATGGTGAATCGAGGTGTTGAATCCTGTCCTGATTCAAGCAAAGAGCAGCTCCAGACAGCACAGCGACATATAATCGCTATGTGGATAGTGGAAGGCGATACGTGGCATGTTTGCTCATCTGCAGGAGGTCGTTTCTCTGGTGCTTAGCGATGCTTTGCTGCCATTCCACGTCTCGCTGCACAATCCACACAGAGAGGGGTTTGGTTAACGCAACTTTCTCACCCGCAAGACATCAGGGAAAAGTCGCTCACCTCCTCCTACACGATTGAAAAAGACTTCTACCTGATTTAAACTCACTCCATGTTCCAGTTGCCTGCTTCCCGTTGGTATGTGGTTAGTATAGGCTAGCCTGGAGACCCTGACTGGATGCATAGTCTGGTCAGGCCAAAGACAGTAGTGTTATCACTACACCATTCAGCTACACTACTCCCATACCCAGAGCTACCCAGTGCCTCCCAGACGAGGTCACACAGTGGGAGGTGAAACACAGGCAAAGCAGCATATCTGACCATCAGACGCCAGCCAGGCTTGAAACATGTTTGTTTGTAAAGTTGGGCATTTAAACAGTCCACTCATGTCTGTAGCCAGCCTCAGGTGGCCATGAGAAGAACTGCAGTTTTGTGATAGCTTCATTAATCTATAAGAACAGAAGGTGCCCTGCAAGAAAACAGCTGTCACAGATCAAAGTTTCCCAATAATGCTGACAAAGCTTCTGTACAGCTGCAGCTGCATTACTTAACCCATACAGAACCAGCACCGGGTTTACCCCATGTTGTTTTGTTTCAGATTGATGACAGGCATGCTGGGAACTGTAGGAAACCAAACAGTTGGGTTTTCTTTTGTTCCTGCTCCGCGTTACAAACAGGTCATCCTCCTACTACTGCACCTTCTCTTACGATGAGTAGATATTATCTCGATTCACGCCTCCACGACGCCGCCCCCCACGTACACACATACGCAGGATTCCTGCAGTGGATATGATAGCCTCTCAGTGTGAGCAGCCCGATGCTGTCTATCCTGTGTTAGATCAGTGTGTGGAAATTATAGAGCTTGGCCACGATGAATGTCAGCTGAAACTCCTTTCTCCTGTGGGTGTTCTGACACAAGGAAATGTTAAATACCCCCCTTCCTGCTCTCATTTACTCGCCCCTCTGCCCCGCTTCCTCCCACACACAGGGGACTAACAGCAGGGCAGGAAGTCCTTTATTTTACTAAGCTAAATGCTTTAATTAAGCTCTCAGACCACTTGGGATGAGACAAAGAGGTAATGCCATCAGCCTCATTAAAGCTCACTGCATCTGCACTCTAGCATTAGCCGCCATGTGAGGACTGGGTTTGTGTCGCTGCATAGATAAATGTTAGAAAGGGACCTTTGACCTAAACTGGAGAAGCTTGCGCATCTATTCCTAAATCCCCTTTTTTAAAATGTAGTACTTTTCATGTTTAACCATAGCCTGGTGCCAAACGTACACGATCATGTGTGATTCACAGGACAAAAGAGTTCATATGACTGATATTCATGTTTCTTGGTGAAACGTCAAAGGTCGTCCATCATAATTTCTATTTGAAAGGGCAATCTGGGGTTTGTCACAGCTGAATGTACAGAAGACAGAGTAGAGACAGGTCTGACAAGAGGAGCTGTTTGTATGATGGCTTCAGTGAGTCTACAGGAAGCAAAGGGAATTGGAAGCTCACAAGATTTTAATGAGGCAATGTTTCAGCCTTCAAGATCTTCATTAGGGAAACATTAAACATTAATGATCTACAATTAAGTTCTTCTCTCTAAAATATTGCCTCAACATTTGTTGGTAAAAAATGGTCCTGTGGGTTTTGTGACGGCGCTTTAGTGATCGATTGGACGTCTGGTGCATCCTGATCAGTGTCCTATATCAATCTTGACTTGGACTTTGAGGGTTTGGAGGCTCTTTGTCAAGTTCCTGAGCAGTTGTTTCATTTGGATGGGGCACGGTGTCCTGTTTGACTGTGGACCAGTAAGTCCATCAAGGAATGAAAAAAAGCCACTGCTTGTAATTAATGTAGTGATATTCATCTGCACATTCAGGTCCAACGTACTACTGGTGGTGTAAAATTCCTCTTATTACTTCCTGTTTACCAAATTGTTGTCCTATGGTCACATGTTGAAAACTCATTCTCTAATCTTTCATTTTCTTACTTCTCTTGTTTAAGTTGGTTTGATGACGATCTTTCTCCACACAGGACCTTGAAATCTTGACTTTTATTGCAAACTCTATATCTTCCTGTCTGTATAACACATGTCAGCAGCTGCAGGGAGTGTGACTGCTGGCTCCAGCTGTATGCTTTGTTTTGCTGAAGGTCACTCAATGATAATGCTTTCTCAGACTGACTTGTTTTGTTGCTTCCCCCCCAGGCCTGGCCAGGGCCAAGTCGGTCCCCAGCCATACCTACTCCAACGAGGTGGTGACCCTGTGGTACCGGCCTCCAGATGTCCTGCTGGGATCCACAGACTACTCCACCTGCCTGGACATGTGGTGGGTACTCCTAACATCTAACCCCGTGTGTGTAATTTATCCGTGATTTATTCACATAGAAACCTTCAAGATATAGATCAGGGAACCCAATTCATGAAGCAGACAAAAACCAATTAAAACACTCTTACTGGTGGCTTATCCTAACCCGAGGCCATGCTCCCTTCAGTGCAGTTTTGTTTTCATGACTACCCAGCATCCACACTCCCAGTTTGGATCAGTTGCTGGTGAGACACACACATTTACTTTATACACTGACAGAACTGCTGCAGATGTGAATGAAGCAACTGAAATGTAATAATCGAACTCTTCATGTCTCGAGCCTGAGCAGACTCGCTATCCCACAGTGAGAAAAACTGTAGCAGGGCTGAAATATTTTCTGCAGCAGTTTTTTTTCTCGACTTTCTCTTCAGTCTTTGTTAAAGATGGTTTGAACTGCCTTGTTTAACTAAGGTACAGAATGTCAGCACGTTTGATGGTAGCTACCAGTTTGTAATTTGTCAGTTACTTTTTAAAGACGTCCGTCCTTTTGGATGTGAAATATGAATCAAATGCAAAACTGACATAAACTTGCATCAGTGGTTGCTGTGGTTTCAAGAACCAAGTCCAGTTATTCTTCTTTCATTTAAATCGACTTTTTCTATCGTTGTAATGAGCAGAACCATTTTGGGCCAGACTGTAAACGTCTTTATTTTGTTGCTGATGACACATTTGGCTTCGTTTTTCAGCCCCAGAGACTGCTGCTTTGAAAAAACTCAGATGATACAGGCCCTTCAATGTACAGTTGACATTTGCATTTTTTCTTTAGGGAAAAGGCTTTGTTTTACTTTTACTTATGCCCTAGATTATAACACCTACTCTCACAAAAGCCCAACTGCTTCTCAGAGTTACCAGCAAGTATAAGTCAGCTTAGCATCATTAATGTTATTTTAATGGGTTATTTTTGAGGAATATGACAACATTTCTGTACATAATGTCTGCACTCGGTTTTAGGGGTGAAAAAGCATGTTGCATGTTGGAATGTGAGGAATAAGAGAGCTGTAGGCTGTCCCATTGTGGACCTGGTCTTAGGTGAGCCACGGTGACCCCCTCTGTCTGGACACACAGTCAGCAGGGAAATCCCAAGAACCCTGTTTTGCAGCGTCCAATTAAAGAGCAGCCAGAGTGTAGGGGTCCGAAAGATAGCGCGCTAGTGTGTCAGTTTCAAGGGCGTTTGAAGGTGGGCAAATCCACTGGGTCTTCTATTCCAATGAGACTCACTCTGTGCCACGCTCGCATACACTCACCTCCGGTCACTTAGAAAGCAGTCATCCGTGAAGAACCACTCCTTGAAGGACCAAAAGGTTGTCCAGATCTGTCTTCCTGCCAGAAGAAGCATCCATCATGAGTTGCTGTAGCTGAGAGGCTGTGAGGAGTGAGGATGTGATGAAGAGCGGGCGAGGAATGGCTCTATTGTTACCTTCCTTAGCTCCTAAGCACTTCACAGAGCAGCAGTTCTCTCTGTCTCTCTTTCACACACACACACACATACACACACACACACACACACACACACACACACACACACACACACACACACACACACACATGCATGGACCTGTCAATCAGAGTCGACGAATGGATCAGTCAACTGTGACCGTGGTTTAGTTATCTCATGGTGCACTACAAGCCAGCTCCATCTGAGAGGACAAGGCTGCTCGTGATGTTTGTTTATCCGTTTATCTTAAAAAACACAGAAATCTTCCAGTGTTTGAAAGTAAAGCAAAGTATTGATACACTATAGTTTAATATCCTGGAATGTTTCCAATGTTTCCACCTGAACATTTCAGATACAGAGTCTTCTTGATAAGTAAGCTCATCATCGTTTGCAGTGACATGTGTTTGGCCAAGGCTCCAGTTCCCAGTGTGTTAAATGATTGTAGTCCCCTGTGCTTTCCTAATTAGCTGTGAAAGAGTTTGAGGCTATGATGCAAAGGAGCATGCTTAATTGCAACTTGCTTTCACAATTTCCACTCAGGCTGCAAAATACTTTATGGCCTTAATAAACTTGTAGATGTAGTTGTGGATAGAGACGTGCACCCTGTGCACATGTCAAGCCAAAGAGCCAGTTGCATTTCCACAGCACCTGCTAGCTAACAAAGTGCAACACAAACAAATGAATGTGTGACTGGCCCGTGCTTGTACCAAGTGTCCAGAGAGAGAGAATTTTGAGTGTTAGACAGAGAACAGAGGCTTCAGAAAGTCTCTGAACTTAAAAGCAGGATGCAAGTGCAGCACAGTATGTTTGTTCGAGACAAATGTCAGAGTGATGGATCTGTTAGAGGTGACTTTTTTCTGTGCAGTTTCATGCCAGAAGGCTTAGCAGCACAGTACAGGTAAACAGCGTGATCAGAGATCTTTGGCTTTTGTTAAAAATAAAAAAGAAACTTCTCACACAACCTTTTACATTAAATCATTTTTTGCTTGTATCAGGATATAAACAGGGTGTATATTATTAAAAGACATTTACTTTCAGTAACTTTACAGGCATGCTGCAGCATGTGAGTAGGCTGCATAGTGAGCTTCCTGGCCCTTCCTGTCACCTCGATGTTACCCGACCTAGAGGATAATAAGGCTGTGCTTAGCTTTGCTGATTTCTCATGAGCTGTATGTAGCCCCACATTCTAACACACGTTGGGCTTTGGCTCTATATTTTATGATCCAGGGTTCATAGCCAGGTTTGCATCTCAGCAGGTGGCTGTGGGCCTCCTTCAGGGCCATGAGGTGGGCCTGAAGGAGGAGACTGTGCGAGGACTTGTACTTGTGCCTCACTGACTCTGTGACAAAAAGATTTCTTTTCACTTTTACTGAAACTCTCCTATTACAGCACCTACTTTAATCAAAGAAATAGCTGTGCCCACAGGCCATTTGAAGGACTTGCACATGATGGTGGATGAAAAAAATAATAATTTTGATGTCAACACTGACTGCATATGAAAACTGGTCAGCCAGAGACAGTTCTTCAAGGTTATGGGCCGTTACCAATGACAAGTTACTCCTGAAAATGTCTATTTAAAATCACAAAAACAGGCGAGGGCCGAATTGAACGAGCTCAGTCACCGTTATTCATTTCACTCTGAGGGCGCCCCCTTTATATCATACCAGAACCATCGCAGTTAAAGATGACGATTTGTTCTAATTTATATTTAGTGACATAGCTAATATATATGAGTGTGGGTGTGTGAGTGTGTACTATTGAATATTGAAATATATTACAGAAGCCTAGCTGTTGTTTTAAATCTAAACCAGCTAATGTTTGTCATGAATGTACTTGAAATGAAATGAAATTCTACCTCAGGATCAATGAAGTCCATCCAACCCAAAATCCAGGCTGTGGAAATGTGTCTTGCAGTGCGACGCTTGACGTATTTGTTTGTCTGCTTTCCCGTCACATCATGAATCACCTCTCAGGCATATCTGTTGATTTACTGTCTTTGAATAAAGAGCCCAATATTTACTGAGGCTAATTTACTGTGTACTATAACTCAAAGGGTGCAGTCCACTCCAGTGACTGATTTAACTACAGCTCCAGTCACAGCACCTCTAACACTGTCTAATTACAGTAACAGCAGTGATAAAACACCACACTGCAGACTCATAGTCAGACGAAAATAAATACGGAAACAGAATCAAGAAGAGGGAGGCGTCGTGTTTCGACATACACATACGTGTAAACGCATGTATGTATTTTTCTTCATTTTTGTAATTTGTACTGTCCACTTTCTGCTGTGACCAAGCACATTTCCCACCTGTGGGACTAATAAAAGTGTATCTTACCTTATGTAGATATTTATAGCATAAAGGCAGTGTTACACTTTGTATAAAGAGTCAGTTGCATGCCTGCACCACTTGTTCTACATAAAAAACTGTGAAAGGAAATGACTGTACCGTATCTTCCGCACTATAAGGTGCACTTAAAATCCTTTAATCTTCTCAAAGATCGGCAGTGCGCCTTATGCATGAATTCTGGTTGTGCTTACTGACCTCGAACCGATTTTATGTGGTACATGGTGCTCAAAAATCTGTCAAAAATGTTTTGGTACGACTTTGGTAAACTATGAAGCCGCACCGCTTGATGGATTATCGGAGCATTACGGAGCCTCGCGGAGTAATCTGGGTCCTAAACTCCGTCGGCTCAGGTCCCAAAGTCAAACGAACACTGCGCCATCACTGAGAGATAAAAACTGTTTAAATTCTTTAATCTTTAATAAAATGATCAACGTTGCTGCTTTATCGGGTGTAACTATGAAGTTTAACATCCAGGCATCCATGAAAACAGAATTTATTAAATTGAACGGAGTTAGAAGTTAGCAGGAGGTTAGCTCGCTGGTTTCCACCTAAGCATGATCTAAGCTGTGTCCCAAAACGTAGGCTGCATCCTTCGGAGGACTCAGCCTTCACAGTCTACTGCGAGGCTGTGAAATGGGACGGTCTAGCCTTCAGATTAGCATCACCGCTGTCTCGGTGGAGTTGCGGGGGTCTGAAAACGATGAAGCCGGGAGTCTGCTGCTCTCGCCGGGTCGAGTGACCGTTGTACCCCCCGGCTAGCTATCGAGCTGGTGGATAACAGACGTCTCCAAAACGTCAGCGCACTTTTGCAAATATACGATGTCTTGATAACCAAGCAGATATTTGAAGTTTACGCAGCTACTTTCTCGCCTGAAAATATGTTAAAAGTTTATTTTGTGACCCAGGAAGATTAATAAGAGTAATATTAAAACTTAGTAGCGGCCTCCATTGTTGGAAACTGGGCTGCGCTATGAATTCTGGGATATGGTGTGCCAAGAAGGACACACCCGAGCCATCCTTCAAATTCGGGGAAATGAAGGACGCATTTGTCGGCCGCATTTGAAGGAGTCGATGCATTGGAACAGCCTTTGTCGCCTGGCTGTGACGTAATCGGCCTTCAAATGCGGCCTCCGGAGGATGCAGCCGACGTTTTGGGACACAGCTATAGCATGTTCTGACTGAGAGACCTCTGAAAACGTACAGCTCTGCTATCACTTCCAACATAAATGAAGACAGAAAACTAAACAGCAGTGACATTTGTAGGGTTACTGAAGTTGGGCTAGCTGCTATATAAGGATGTGCTACGTGGTCACTAGCTACACAGCTATGTTAGCATAACATTAGCACAGTGAAGCTGGAGGATGAAAGCTGAGTTTTTTCCACTCAATAAAAGTTAACGTGAGGGTTCCCGATGGTTAGAGACAAATGCAATCGCATGGAGGATGCTGTTAACGGACCAAACTTCAGTCAGGAGAACAACTGAGATAATCCATCCACAATACGAGGTTAGTCATTAATATACTGCAACAACATGGGAATAGAGCAGCTGTGAGAGAATACAGCATTAATGAATCAATGGTACAGAAGTGGAGGAAGCAAGAAGAATGAGTTGAGTAAAATGTGACTTATCTGACTGTTTTGTTTACCTTAATGCGCCTTAAAATCTGGTGCACCTTATGGTTGAGAAATACGTTACTGGTCTTCCAGCTCCAGGGTGAAAAATATTACAAACTCCTGATGGCGTGACAGACACAAACCTGATTTAGAAGGCTAAAGGAAACATTATGCAGGTTTACATTGAGAACTGGTAAGAGTGGGCTTCAGTTTCTAATAGTGGGCATTATTTAGCAAAGTGCACAAAGCTGATATTGTCACAACAGGTTTTATGTATATCCTTAAAGACTATCCCTGATGAAGGTCCTGATACTCACAGGGCTCAGTGTTGTTGTTCTTGACTTGTATGCATTCATTATTAGCATTTTTGTACCTTGACAGCGTTTCCTCAATAAAACCAATAAATAACGTGATCGAATCACATTTTCCTTAGCAGCCTATTTCCTGTTACCTGTGTGAAGAATGGAGACATCATTTCTAGCTGGAGGGTCAGTAACTTTGCCAGAACTTTAGAGCTAATAACCTGTCAGGCCTTTGTTGACAACATCATCCAATTTCAGACAAAATGACAGGAATGAATCAAACTGAGAGGAAGGTATAACTACACAGATGAAAATTGTTTTGTGTTATTCTTTTTTCTTTAAGCTGACCTTTGCCCGTATCACATATGCACCTCAGGCAGCAGAATAGTTCTCTACGCTCCAGCAGAAATACTGGATGCTGAGGTTATAGCTCTGTCATGGAGATGAAGCATTTTCATTCCGTAAAATGGAAGGAATGGAGAAGTTTTTGAGGGATGAATTTCAGGTAATCTCTCTCTCTCTCTCCTTGCATTGAGAAGGAGTGTGCACTGAGCCACGAAGCGAATCTGTCAGAAAAATAGCTCTTTGACAAATGAGCATCGACAGCACAGACACACACACTCTCACACACACTCACACACTCACACACACACACTCACACACACGCACCTTGGCCGTTCTCCCTCCATACTGAAGTGGTCTTGATATTTTAAGATTTCCAACCTACATTCACAGTCTAACAGCCCTCTGGAAGAAAAGAAATCAATACAGCCTCAAAATGACTTTCACTGTGAGGCTTGTTGGGGTGATTAAACAGTTAGTGTTTTGCAGACTGTAATTAGATGTGAACAAAGGACGAACCGGTCAAATACAACATTTTCCAGTGATGCTTTATTCCCATGTGTTTTTATTTTAGGCGGCACCTGTGAAAGGCTTAAGGACATTGAGAAGAAATACAGGATTTATAATTAGTGTTATTTTCTCCTCCAGGGGAGTGGGCTGCATTTTCATTGAGATGATCCAAGGAGTGGCTGCATTTCCTGGGATGAAGGACATCCAAGACCAGCTGGAGAGGATATTCCTGGTGAGTGACTGCTAAAGTGAATTTGGAATAGCTCTTCTCAGGCCACTGCAGCTCAGGGCTACGGTCAGAACCGTGACACGACCAATCTTTGATTTTCATCCGATCTACTGTGGATGCACTTTTTTTGCAGTCACTGCATGGATCATAGCCCTGAACATTTATAATAAATTATTATTATTTTGTATGAACTCGTGAGTGAACTAGTTGGTTACTCAATAACTGTAAGCCTGAGTTAGCAAAGTGACCCCAAACAATGATGACTCCTCCACCATGCTTGATAAGCTAGATGGGGCTTTGGTGTCTTTTCCCCCTGTATATATGTTGGTGTACGCGTTGCTGAAAGGTTCATTTTTGGACTAAAGGACTGATGTGTGTTATAGAAAGGAAAGTTGCTAAGTATGTTTTGTCCATTTAAGTTGATTTGAGGGTCCTCAGCTGTGTTAGTGACAGATGGGGTTCTTGGGTTCTAAGAATCTCTTTTTTTGTACCAATCAACATGCACGGGCTTTCACTGCAGTTTATTATAAACTGAGGAATACTGAGCCTGGGAGCAGGACAAGAAACAGCTTCTGACAAACATGAATGACCAGAGCTGTGGCCTCACGGGACAGAAACAGTGTGCTTCTGTCCTTTTCAGCACTTTCTCCGTTGTTACACTTATTCAGACAAACTGTGTAATCTATGTATACAAAGTGACAACACACACATGCATGGCTGAAAGTGAACAGTCTGTCAGGTCTCCAGTATCATACATGGATATCATACATGGTGCAGTGCTGCTGTAGTTGCAGCAGCCTTAACAGACCATGCAGCCCTGTGTCAACAGACCCTCACATTTAGAAAATGTTGGCGTCTTCTTTTCAGATTCTGCTTCATGCTGACATGATTACACTGTTCCTGTAGAGCCACAGTCATGCTAGTGCTCTCTTATTCTAGTGCATGTCAGAGGCGCTGTGCTGGGTCCATAATGGTGACAGAGGAGACAGTGAGAGCAGATAACTTTTGCTTTGTGACACGATGTGTTATCCTGCTGAAAGGCAGTATTAAAAGATGCTAAACCACGTCCACAGACAGCTACACACAGTCCGTAGTGTTGCTCACACCTTGGTTTCTGCTATTAATGGCCCACCAGTGTGCCAAGCAAACATTTCCCACACCATTACACCGCCAGGAGAGGCTTGGACTGTTGACGAAGACACGTTGGCCCCTTGGATTCATGCTTTTGGCGCCAAATTGTGAGTCTACCATCTGCTGCTTCAGCAGAAATGTAGACTCATCAGACCAAACTACACCTTTCATTTGGTAGTGGCGAGTCTGTGCCCACTGTAGCGTCACATTTCTGTTACTGGCAATAAGTAGCCTGTATCTGCAAGCATTTTCACGCCATGATTAGCTAATTGCATGAATAAATGGACCATTCTTTGCTTTCTAAACACTGAGTACTGGTTTAAAGTTACAGTAATAATGAAATATTGTCTCATAGAACTTTGCACGACCCACAGTGCTGACCAGGTGTGTCCATCTATGGCTAGGGTGCATTTTAAACTGGACTTCCTCCAGCTGGATAGCACGCAGGACGCAGGGAAAGCGAGTTAACGATAAAAACGATTAAAAAAATAACAATATTAAAAAAAAAGATAAAAAACCCTGAAAACCATCAATTTCACACCCGGGCCTCAACTCTTGTGGCCCAGTTTCAAACGACCGGGCTGCAAGAGTTGCATCTACCAGCGCTGATGCTGATGTGGACGCGTCCTGCCTGCCTACATTTGACAGGTTTGAGAACAGATTTGTGTATATGTAATATTTCCAGCCAACACACTCCCGAGGCGTAATATTTTACACTAGGTGACAAATCGTCAACATGTCATGCTTCCAGGCGCCCAACACGTTCCTAAATGACGAGATCGGAAAAATGAGGAAACATGAGAACTGTTTGGAATCAATCCACACATGTTCATTCATCTTCCTCAAATGTTTTTGTAAAACACTGTTTCACCTCATTAAAGTGCTGGTTAAGGTTAGGCATAAGGTTATGGTTAGGCAGGGCTCTAGACTAACTTTTTGCCATGGGCGTACCGGCACAAAAGTTAGGCGCACACAAATTTTATAATAATTGATATAATATAATGTGTTTTTCTGGATACACTGTGCTTTTTCAGCATTCAAAGATTGATGACACCGTGTCAGAGCACTGGCTATGAATTTCAGAAGGATCAGGCCTTAACAGAAAAGTTAGCAATAGTTCTTTTCCTATTACAGCTACATCCACGTCTGTCGTGCCTAGGCTGCTCACCAGGGCTGGGTATCATCACTGATTTCTACAATCCATTCGATTCCGGTTTTCAAAGTCCCGATTCGATTCAACTTAGCCTCAGACAGTCAGAAATATTATAACTCTGATCATTTATCAGCACTGACTTCATCAGAATTGTGAACATCACAGCAGATGCCTTTGTGTGAAAGTAACTGAGAATAAAACAGAAAAACATGAAGGAGATTTTCCTGGTCTGGCTTTTTATAGCAGAAAACCCTAAAAATATTCTACAATGTTCTGCATATAAAGTTTAAATTTCTTCAGTATTGAACAACAGAAAAAATAGGCTTTCTTGTCCGAGGTCATTTAAGTGAAAAAGAAAAGAAAAAGACAGCAGCCACAGCCTGTAAACAACGGTAGACTGGTGGGTAATAAGCGAATGAATAATACAGAAAACAGAGATTGGAGACGGAAACTGTTCTTGAAGTACAGAGAGAGAGAGAGAGAGAGAGCTGTGCATGAAGTGTGATTTTAATAGTCGTGGAAGCAAAACAGCAAAATTCATGACGACATTGATCAGATGTGAAGCGCAGTTTGCTGCTTCTTTTGCTGCTGGCTCGGTGGATTTTGGCTGGAGAGACAAAACCTGCAGCTCAGAATCAGCGCAAAAAGACGTAAACACAGCGCGGACCGGACGCATCAGGATCGCTGAGCTCCGACAGCGTGTCCGTCTGCGGGCCGTCGGGTGAGAAAGCCGAGAAAGACAAAGCTGATTCTGATGCGTCGGGTCTGTGTTTACGTCTTTGTGTGGAGTCCGTGTACCTGCTCTCATCTGCTGTTTGGTTGTTGTTGAAATGGTTTTGTGAGCTTTAATCTGAGAATCTGGCGTTTCTGGCAAAACACAGTTATGTTTAAAAGTCGATTCAGGGTTTAATGAATTGATATCGCTTTATTCAAGCTACTCACCTCCCACTTCCACCTGCACTTTCAACTGGACCACGGCCAATCAGAGAGGTCCCGCCCCTGACTATCTCTGATTGGTTTAGTCCACGATAGGGGCATAATGTGTGTCTGTTGTTGACCACAGGGAAGGTTACAGATTTTTTTTTTCCACTACCCGAACAGTTGGTCGCACAGGTGCAACCAAATATTTTTTTTTAGTCGCACCACTGAAAAATATGGCCTGGAATACATGGCTGGAACGTGTTTTACTGCGGGACCGTCATTCTGAAGTAAATAAAAATTTATTTATATAGCACAAGTGCTTCACAATAAAACCAGAAATACAAAGAAAATAATATGAAACAGTAAAAATATGATTAAAAGTTCATTTGTATAAAAATGTCTTCAGCTGCTTTTTAAAGCAGTCAATGGAGTAAAGACAACAGCAGGGAGTTCCATGGCCTAGGGGCCTGAAAAGCCCGATCCCCACGTGGGACCAACAGTAACCTCTGACCTGACGACCTAAGTGCACGGGATGAAGCATGAGGTTTCAACAGGTCAGACATATACTGGGGAGCTTCACCGTGCAGAGCTCTAAAAGTTACAACTAAAATTTTAAAATGAACCCTAAAATTTACTGGCAACCACTGAAGAGAAGCCAAAACTGGAGTAATGTGTGGCCTCTTGTTTGTACCAGTGTATTTGTGCTACTGTATTTCACCCACAACCCGGCACGCAGCTTAAGAATGCCAAAGGTCGCCTTTCACGTTCCTTTTGCCGCAGGACGTGACAAATCGTCAGGATGTTACGCCTCAGGAGTGAGAACGGGCTGTTCCAGCAGTAGCGTCCACGGGAAGACAATCATGGCAGACAGACTGTAGAGTGCACCTGCCAGTCACTGGCTAATTTCTTATGGCTGGCTCTTCCATAGCCACTGATTTGAGTGGTTCCATGTTCCAGTTGCATTCAGTCACATGAGTGAGACAATATGAGACAATATGAGACAATGATTGACAAACATGGTTGTCAATATGAACCTTGTTTTGTAAACATCCTATATGATGTTTGACACATATATAATCATATAGCTGTAAGTAATTACATCTATGATTATCTATCAATTGGATGGCTGGCATAAATATTTTAAAGTGATGTGAAGTCTCATGAATCCTTTAATCTGGTGATCCCTCCATATAATTTCATCCCCAGTCTCTTAATTGAAGCAGAGTGTAGCAGGGCAGACATAATGGATTCATATTCATAGGCTGAAAGGGCCTGAATAATTAATGTATAAAATGATTGAGATGAGAGTATGGAACAGATTTAACCGGGAAAGGCTAAAGATGCACATCTGAGAACGAATGGCTTTGGGATGAAGGGATGAGGAAAGGTGAACAAAGCCCTGCAGGCAGGGGGGTTTCTTAAAACGCAAACAGAAGAACAAGATGAAGAAAAACACGTCTTATTGATTGTCTTTTATGCTAGAAGGGATCAGTGGGGCTTCTGTAAGAGGTGCCGGCCCTCAGTGATCCCCGCTCGTCTCTCAGACTCAAAGAGGCCCAACAGTGGGATCGCTGCTGGCCACACTGATGATGAGGCTCAGCTGCTCGTTGCTTCCCTACAGAGACTTTCCACTCTGGTCATTCTTTGTTTCCTTTAGTTTCTGCCACCATCATGGAAATCCACCAAGTAACTTATGTGAGCCGACACGGTTGCATGTGTACATAAAAGAGATAAACCCAAAACACAAGCTATCCAGTAAAAAGGTCACCTGTAACAGCACAGGTGGTAGTTCTATGGC